AGCAGGAAAAGTGGAATTCTCATCTCCAGCAGATGCACAAGTGTCATCCAGTTTGTACTAATCTGTTGAACAGCAAATGTGTAATGTAAGGGACAGTCAGAATATGACTAGACAGGCTTTTAACACCACAGAAGCTGTCTCTGTATTTAACATGCTGAGAAGACAAGCTAATCACAAAAGACTTGTCTAGATGTCTATGTTCTTTTGACTCCCTATGTATTTTGTAGATGCTGACAGCCAGTGTGACCTCTAAATCAATTTATTGCATAAGTTTACATATGCAATAAAACCACTTGCCATATAATTTAACTACACAGTGTGAAATGTTGACCAAGCGCTGATTTGACCTTTTCAGATCTAATCAAGAAATCTGAAATATTATTTCAGCTTGTCAGCTTCAGTAATACACAGTAAGAGTATCTGGTTCTGACTGAAAATGTCAGATGCACTCTAATATGCCACCCATCAAAGTTACAATGCATATGAACCAAGAACTGGTTAAGAATATAAATCTGTAACATCTGTGGTGCATCTCAGTTGCTTGGATAATTTGTTCTGCCATTGATATGAGCTAGCTGAAAACAGACATTATAAGCAATTTTTAAAAATGCATGTGAGATATACAGACACTTTTATTCTTTCCAGAAATAATCCGCTCTAAGCTGAGGTGTTGTTATCAATCTTACTGGCATTGAATTTAGTATTAAGCATTCTTAATAGTCTTGTGATTTTTATAAAAAAATCTGTTTTTAAAAGCTTTCTAAAAGACAGTACTGTTGTCACTAGGTTATGATACCTAATGATGTTTAATTTCTTTGTTTTCTATGTATCATCTTTGAAGTTTCTGATCTTGGTATTTTACTAAATATTCAGATTTAGGATAAATTTGTCTTTAATAATTATTTATCGAGCATGAGACCAATTATTCATGGGTGTAATTTCTGTATTATTAATTTAAATTTGGATTGAAGTGGACGGGCACAATGAAAAGCAACTTTGTATTGTGAGAAAAGCCTAACGATTGTTTAATCTTAAAGCAGTTGTTACACTAAAATGGATTTGTTTTTCAGTCTAATCATGGGTAGGTCTTGCAATTTGAGACGTTATTAAGTGAATTGCTACTATTGGTAAAATGTTGGAGCTAGGATTAAAATGAAGTGTGGGAAGCATTGCTGAACC